AGAAATTATGACCCAAATGCAATAAGCTGCTTTTTGCGGGTGCTGGCAAAAAGGGGCCTGGGTTCGGAATCCAATCAACGGCCCCGGGTTTCGATGCAGGCGATGATGGTAATGGAATTTTCCGTTCTGCTCTGAACTATATACAGGTTCGGACCACCAGGCGCGATTTTTGCGTCTCACGCTTATTTGACGCTATACAAAAATTTCTTTACATTCACAAAATATAAAGGTCTTCTCTTAATCTCATCAAAAATATTTCATCAACAATTTCTCACTGGTAAGAGCTGCTTAAAATTACATTCTTGCACGCTGCATATAGACTTGGGGAGGCGGATATCTTTTCGACATTTTCTCGTGATACTCATCTGCTTCAGCTCATGATGAATCCAGAATCAAGCTTCTCAGGCAAAATGTCCGACATACGAAAGGAGGAAAAGGATAAAAACGCCTAAGTAATGAGAGACTTTCATCTCAGGCATCTAACAAGACATTTTCTCGGAAAAAAACCCTTATTAAATGCGAAGTAAACGTGATGAAGTAACACAAGAGGAACCCGAGTCTGCCCAAGAATTTCATTCTGATTTTCCTTTTTTTTCCGCACGACATGCCCTTTCTTCCCATTTTTATCGTCAATTCAAAATAACATTTTTGGAAAATTTTTCTCTCATTCGTATTTTTTATTTCCTTCAAAATTTCGGACCCATCTTTGAAAATATGTCAGAGAATTTTTCGACGGTCAGTTACATTAATTTCGGGTAGTGTGTACTCTGATTGAATGTATAAATTTAAAATGTTTCCAAGACTGATTGTAAGGAAATAATGCATTTATTTGGGAAGAAAAGCCACCATTAGTAAAAATGATGGATCAATGAGGCCTTGGGCGAGATATTGCCTCTAGAAAGCAGCAATACTTTCAACTCGTCAACAGATCAAAAGATCATAACCACCCAACCGTTTCTGCCAAAGCATGCAATTTCAGTTCAGTATTGCGACAGAGAATAAAATAAAAAATACAAGAAAAGGAAGAATAAAAGCTTTATGTTTTTTTGTGTAAAACGACCAGGTTCTCAATGCATACACACCAGGCCTCTCTTCCACCATTCCTTTGCATAAAATAGCACGAATGAGTCTGTTGACTGCACAAAACACTCGAAGGAATTGACAGGAAAGGCACGTGCTTTACTGCACACTATCTGCATTATGCACATATGGGTATTTGATTTTTAATACAATTTTTATACCATTTAGAACGATATATCGAGAATGATTGCATACATTCCCATACAATTCAAGGTTATACGTTTGTTCCTGATGCTATGGTGGAACAGCCAAAATAATGATCCTCCTTCTGCATCCTGAGGAGGAATTGAAATGTATATGAGGGATCCGTTTTCCGCGCGCAGTTTTGAATACAAATTGGCAACGTTTGTTAACATGTTCCAATTGCTCCAACACATTTCCTAGTAATTTTAATCTAAAAAGTACGGCGTTTCTTTAGGGTAAAATATGGCTTAGACCCGGCTGGTGTAAAATTGGGTGACCCTCATGAGGGTTTTCCCCAACACATTCCCTGGGAAAACGCCCTGAGCTTGTCTTATTCCTCTTGTATATAGTTTAAATAAGAAATGGGCGATCATTTGTTTCACCATCAATGCTAAATATAATCTACAGAACTGTGAAAAAGAACGGATCCTCACGAGGAATTAATTCATTCTATGAACTGCCCTATACTTATAATGAAAATAAAATGGCACGTTCAAAAACGAGAAAAATCTATCATGTAAAACTAAAATCTAAAAGAAGACATTAAATTAAATTGAAAGCGAGAAATAGACTTGCCAGGGCATTACGAAGATTGTCTTGAGTGACATCTTGCACCGCAATCCAGCGTTTGGCGGCGCCCACCGCCGGCGTCAGATGGAAGCCGCAGTTGAGTGTGGCGCCCGCCGCCACCGGGACGCCCTCTCGTACGTCAAGGTCCGCCACGATGTTTCGGAATTTCCCCGTCGAGAACATGGTAACGTCGGTGAATTGCACCGCATGCGCCTTTACGATAAAGANAAAGGATTTTAAAAATTAATGAACATGACATCAATTGGATCCAACATAGGGAGTGTTCGAGAGTTTAAATTTTGAATCTTCGGAAAAACAAGAAAATTTTCATTAACAAAATTGTGTATAATACCTACTGTCTGAGAATATCCATTTAATATACATTTTTGCTTCTTGTCCGCGTTCAAAAAGTAAAACAAAAATACCCCCCCCCCGGATAATTTTGTTTTAATTTTAAAACAAAAAATTTAAAATAAATAATAAGCTAAAAAAATTTTGTACGACGACCAAAGTTTTCCTACTTCGCGATCTTGAATAAATTATTTCCCTCAAACATTCAGAAACATATTGATTGCGCTGTGAATTCCTGAACACACACATGCTCCTGTATGGAATGTCATGGTAACACTGAAATCAATTCTTCAGAGTAAAAAAAAATCCTTTTTTCACAAGCTTCCAGTCTGTTGTTAGCATATTATATCCCAATTCTTAGGGGACCAGGAAAAACTGTTAGCTTTAAATGTCGTTTCCTTTCAAAGATTTCTTCATAATTCATCTAATTGTCAAAATCAATATTTGGAACAGGCTGAACCCCTCGCGCTTTAATTTGTGCTCAGTAATTGCCTTTGGCTGTGACTTTTGTCATCCGAAAACGGCTGCAATTCATTATCCATGCATTCATGTGTAATGTGATAAATCTTATTTCAATATACCGATATATCGGATAATTTGTTTAATTTTCTTTTGATACGCTGGAATATGTTGAATTAATATATTTTAATCACTTGTCCTGCTGTATTGAATGATTACTTTAAATGATCGATTGATGTAAAATCTTTATTTTTGCTTATTGTCCGCGTTCAAAAAGTAAAACAAAAATACCCCCCGGGTATTTTTGTTTTTACTTTTTGATTTACTTTTTGAACGCGGACAATAAGCTAAAATAAAGATTTTATATCAATCAATCATTGAACGTAATCATTCAATACAGCACGACAAGTGATTAAAATATATTAATTCAACATATTCAAAATACCCGGGGGTGGGGGGGGGGGTATTTTTGTTTTACTTTTTGAACGTGGACAATAAGCAAAAATAAAATTTTTATATCAATCAATCATTGATCAGAATCATTCAATACAGCAGGACAAGTTATTAAAATATATTTGATGAACGGGGAACACCCGGTTTTAGGAAGTTTGACGCAAGAATAATTTCTGCAGGGACCTCGGTGATTATAATTGAGCTGCGAGGTTATCACTTCCACAGTTCCACTTAATTAAAATATCTCGGAATGTCTCTCTACACCGAAGTAAACCTTTATTAATAAGAAATCTTGGCACTAACATCTGAGCTAGAAAAAGTGAAGCCACTCCGAAAAATCTCATCTCCTTTGGGAGAAGAGACGCGCGCCAGAAGGTGGGTCGTGCTACCCAGGGGTATAAAACAGTGGGGATAAACATCCATCACTGCTCGCATCAGGGAACCCCGAATTGCCCCCATAAGAAGCGATATAATAATCACCTCATAAACCAGTCTCGGATGTCAAGCGGATATAAATTCTCTGACCATGCCGCATAAATGCATCCTGGCAGAAATGAATGAAGTAGAAAAAATACTCGTGACTGCAAAAAAGCTTGCTGAGAAAAAAAATGATGGAAAGGGTCGCCTTCTTCCCTTTGTATATACATGGAATAAACTGTTCCTCTTGCGACGACTTAGTCCGTGCCACGGATTCCTTGATGCACACAGATCAGGACAGTAAATATCAAAGAACGCATAAGAAGTGCTTGGGCTGGGAAGCGTGAATGGATTTATGAGATTTCAAAGATCTCAGTCCCTCGATAATATCTGCTTTTTTTCGGGATTTTTTGAAACATAAATTGCGACTTAAACAGAGTATTAAAATTTATCGAGAGCGTTTTGAAATAATTCTTTGAAGCAGAAGGAAATTAAGAATGCAAATAAATGATAAAATTCGAAAAACACTGGGTTCAAAAAATCAACGCATTAAAATCCACAAGAAGATGGAATACGGAATATGCCTCAATATAATTATGAAATTTTGTGTACTTCCACAAAGGACATCTGAAAGGATTTCTAGTTGTCCTAAATACACTCAATTTTTTTATCGACGACGATCAACAAAATATGTTGTCGCGGGTCGACTAGATGTCGCCCGCAGCGCAGGAACAGGAGAGGCACAGAAAGTGCAACGCAGCGTAGGAAACGCTACGTCGCACATAAAAACAAATATCTCGAAAATTCCAAGATAACAACAGAAATATCTTTTATTAAAACATTATGAAACCTGAAGATATTGATCTTCAGGAAAAACATTCCACCAAGTGAATCATCACTTGATGAAAGGAATTATGAAGAATTTTACAAACAGAAAATTAGTCACACCCCAGTGAAAACCTTGGAGAAGCTTTCCACTGGGGAGGACCAGGACCTGTGAGGAAGGAACAGCAGAATCAATCAATCCTGCTCTGGACTTTGGAGAGAACAGACCTGCTGATATTGTGTGTGACTTATTTGCTGGGAAATATTATTTGTGGACTTGGACATTGCTGATAAAAAGAAGTTGAGGGTTCAGGACCCTTAGGCCGCAAACTGCCAATTGTGCTATTAGTTTATTTCACTAAAACTGGATATTTGTGTTGGGGTCTGAGGACCTCCCACAACATGCCCAGGAGAACCTAGTGCAAAAATTTTGGGGTGGGTCCAAAAAGAACAATGAATGGATGCATCCAATTAAGAGTCCAACACCCGCAAATTTGTACTTGTACAAAAGTGACGCTTTGTGGTCTGGTACATGAAGGGTCCGCTGGGGACATGTCCCCAGTGGATGGTATGAGGAGCATGAAATGGACATGTCCACATTTCCAAGCAGCAGGACACGTCCAAGGAAGACGCGTGTATTACAGGTCCCTAGAGCGTCCATAATGGACGCATTGAAAAGATTCAAAATTGGACGCGTCCTGGCCATGTCCAGAAAGGATGCTAGTGAGGTTTATTGCCAGGGGTGATGGTGGCAATAAATTCTTGCCTTTAAAGCAAGAATCCTTGCTCAGTGGGCAATGGGAGAATAGAATCATTGCTCCAATGTTATTTCCAGTATTATACATATATGGTGTTAGTATATATCTATACGTAAATAGTGTAAATATCAATGTATATATATGCACAGATTGTACATGAATGTATGCTATATGAATAGTAGTAATAAAATACAAAACAATGAGAGGGAAGCTTGATGACATGTGCATGGGCTATTGCCCCTGCTTATTGCGATGTAATATTATTCAAATAATTGTCAGTGCGTAAAAGTGGAAGTGATGTGAGAAAGCAACATGAAAGTATATGCACAGTTCTTGCTAAGCAAGAATCCTTGCTCAGCCCTGTGAGCAAGTATTCTTGCTCTTTGTTCCTGTAGCACGTTTGCAACAATGAGCAAGAATTCTTGCTCAGCCCAGTGAGCAAGAATTCTTGCTCCCCGGGCTGAAGCAATGTTAGACCAAATACAACCAGAGGGCAGCAGTGGTAAAACATGGCTGGGCCCTGTGGCTCAACAGTTCTCACAAAGCAATAATCCTTGCTCCTTGGGCTAAGCATCGCTTCAATGTTATTTCCTGTATCCTCTTTCCTGTGGTTTGCATCCAAAAGTGATTTATGAAGAAATTGTTTAAAAATTATAGAACAAAAGTGATGTACAATGGATGAGTGTATTACTTAATATTAGTTTTTCAAATTGAGTTAAGAAAGGCTGTACTTACCTGTTGTGTTCATGGCAGTGTGAAGGTGTGTGGTGCTTGTTTGCATTCCAAGTCCTGATTTTAAAGCCCGCGGCTCATAATGACCAAAAGTATCAAGTATTATGTATGCTGAAAAATTTCTACTTGAATATTCCAGGTTATTTGTCATACAAAAAATGTCTTCCTATGATGACTTTGTTGGTGTGTGCAAGTGCTGAACTTACAAAATTGGTGTTGAGGAATATGCAAGGCTTGGAGAGTTCATCACCCACATTTTTTTGAGAAGCGTGCGTGGGTTGACGGAATCTTCAAGTTGAAGTGTTTGGTGGAATTGATTGAAAGTTTGGACCCAATTGGCAAAGGCCTCATCACTTGGGCTGCAGATGGAGAAGACAACACAATGTGGTCAACACTTCCTAATAAACCCATTGGAAGGGTTTTTGACCAGGAAATGGAGAAGGTGCATGGGCATGGCATATATGCCAGCCTCACCAAGCAATGCACCCGAAGCATCAACACTGCCCAGGAATTTTTTGACTCAGCAAGGAAAGGAAGGAGTCATGCATCCACTTCTGTTGGTGGTGGAGCATGTATTCTTCAACATCCACCAAAAATGGATCCAAAGGTGGAATGCACAAAGGCAGGTGCATCATCAAGTGAAGAAGAAAATCAAAAGGCTTACTGGTCAAGCCTATGTGCTCTGCAAGCTGGCCAGAGAAGTCCAACAGTGAAATATGTCACGGAAATGACTATTTCTGAACTGGATCCTGCCAGGCTGGAAAAAAAATACAGGAGAAGGCCAGGCCAAAAGATGTAAGTGCGTATTTTTATATACTCGAGTATCTTTAAATCAAAGTGGTGATATTAACATTAGTATCATTGGTATTTGCAGGGGAAGCTTTGTGCAGCTCTGACTGATTTTCTGGGATCAATTCTTGGAAACCTGAGTACAAGCTTTGATCCCATGTTGTCCATTGAAGGAGTCAGCTCTCCTTTCTTCTTCATTGGGACCTGTAACTCTTCTTTCCCCATGCACTGTGAGGATATGGACCTCTTCTCAGTCAACCTGCACTGGGGTGGATATCCCAAGATTTGGTAAGGATACCTAATTTAATGCATACTTTACTTCAATGATAGATTATCATTTGTCTGAAATTGAATATATGTTCAGGTACAGCATGGGTGCATGTGAGATGCCTGAATACAAAAACATTGTGGAATGTGCAATTGGGAAAGACTTTCCTGAATGTGGAAACTTACCAAGGTATAAAATTTATGCCTTTGATGAAGTCTGGTTGGACCATTACTGCCTCAATGCATGTGTGACAGTTCAACATCCATACGAGTTCATCATCACAACACCAAAAGGACCACATGGTGGATTCAACACTGGCCTCAATCTGAATGTGGCCATTAACTTTGCTATCCCACTGTGGGTGGACTACAGTCTGAGGGTGAAGTTCTGCAGTTGTGAGGGGTATGGATACTTATTTTTGGTGATATAAATTAATTCTCCAATTACAAAATTTTCTCATTTATATAATTCAGAGCACAAGAAAACAACATGAGGTTTCTATTGGAGCCTTTGTCAGGCACTACTGCAGTCCAGCCATCTATGAAGAATGGTTGCATCATGGACTTCAGAAGTTTCCTGCAAACAGACCGGACCTGTCAGCAACTGAAATTCACAACAAGTCCCACCTCCAACTCTTTCTCAGTTGAAGTTGACAAGGATGTAAGTTGAAAGTCTTGAAACTGGAGGTGATATTAATATTTTAACACGTTGTCATAATTTTACATGTCATTTTGAACAGACCACAAATGGATGCTGAATGGGAGTACAAAACAAGAGGTGATTAAGTGCAGGAAGCTCCTCATTCTCCTTCAGAAGAGGATTAAATTCTTGGAGGGAAAAGTTGATGATTACCTTGGAGTTGGGTTAGTGTTCTTGACTTCTGGTCATAAAAACTGCAATTATTAATGTATTATTCCTATTTTTCAGGAAGAATAGTGCGAAATCTGTTAAGACACATCACATCCGTCTTTTGATTGACAAGGTTCACAAGAGGCAATGTTCAACTGGCACCTCATCAGACATTCAACAGGAAGTTCTTGATGAAGAAGAAGAAGATGAAAATGTGAAGGAATTGGAAGCTTCAAGATTTTTGTTATTTCAAGATGATTTGGAAAGGAAAACTACAAGTAAAGAATTGAAAAATAGTTTAAAGAGGAAAGATGAGTTAGAAGAGGGTGATGATGTTGTATTCCTGAAAAATGCCAGAAAGAGAAAATAAGAAGTTAATACATACTTGATGTGAAAGAATATTTGTATGATAATGTTGTTCTTGACATTGAATGTACCATACCATTGAAAGTTTCTGTGTACTGATGAATGTACTATACCATTGAAAGTGTCTGTGTACTGATGAAATACTTATGTTTCTCTGTGTTCACAGGTATATTTTGCAAAAATTGTTGAAATTATGCAAGTGTGGAGTGTGAAAGATGTGGGGTGCATTGAACCTACGGAGTTTAATGCAGTGGCTCTCTTCAGAGCATTTAAATTAGAAACCCATGAAGTGTGGCAAGCTATGCATAAAAAAGGTGAAATTGGCATGCTAGTGTCCAAAACATTTGATGTAATTGTGGATGCAGCAAAGGATCTCCTCAATGACTGCTTCAAAGAAACAGTAGAAGTGACATCACATTTTCAAAAGCTGCAGCAATTCATTATGACCAACATGGAAACTTACTGTGAGTACTAAATTGATTGCCTTATGAATGACGTAGTATGTTTGAATAGTACTTATTATTATTACATCATACTACTTTCTCATACACAGCAATCACAGAACTTATGGAAATTCCTGCCTTCAAGAAGGAAGAGGTTCAAAGTGTGGTAGCAGGGCAGGAAGTGCAGGGCATTGGACCCTCACCTGTTCCCTCATCTTGGAGCCCCCGCTTGTCAAACCCCAACACACCAGGAACACCAGCAACACCAATGGAAATAATAGGTTAGTACTACATTGTGGCAGTTACAGGTTTTGAGTGAAGGTTTAACATTATTGGGATATGTTGGGAAATTTTACTTGCTTCAAATGTGTTTGACATAATTACATTATATACGTCTTTTAGGACATTCAAACGTTGGAGATGAGAAAAGCAAGGATGAAGTAGAACTTGTTGAGCTGCAACGTGTCAAGCCACAGAATATGGATGTCAAAGTCTCATGAGGAACATCAGAGCAAGAACAATATGAACAGGCACTAATTCAAGGTGATTACTATTGTAATTTGTGCTATACTTTTGTCATATATTTTTGTAATAAAAGTAGACACAGGAATTCTACCTCAGCCCCCATAGTGTTGGAATAGCATGGAAGAGCAAAAATTCTTGCTCCACACGCTGAGCAAGAATTCTTGCTTAGCGTTGCAATAGCATGGAGGAGCAAAAATTCTCACTCCTTTCCACAATTAGATTACAAATTAATAATTAATCTCCTGCATTTTTAATTACGTGTATTCACATTTTTGTTTCTGTTTCTAATTACTGAGGTTAATTAAGAATTGAACTTCATTTATGTTGCAGATCTGGACAGTGAAGGTGCATCAGAAGAAGATTGTGAGGAAACTGAAGAAAGCCTTGCTTCAGCTTCCAGCATTACAACCTGCCAAGGTAAATAGGGCCAATCATTATACATTTTTGTTCAATCACATGCTGTCAATGCTTTCTTGTTGTATACTTGTTATGTGTTAACATTTTCCTTTGTACATTAGATGCAAAGTTTTACATGTACGTAATTGCATGTTATGTTTCAACAGATTGAATTGCTGGGACTTCTGCTACTGATATCAGAGAAGAAGGGACTGATTTTGGATACAAACTGCTGAAACCAATGGCTACGCTTGCCTTGGTGGATGAAACTTGGTTCTTGTACCAAAAAATTGTCCCATTCCTTGTGTCTTTGGAAAGGCACAATATCAAGTTATCTTCTGAACAACAAACGGCATTGGAGGATATCAAGAAGACCTTGAATGCACACACTCTGGCACCACCATGCCAGTGTGTTCAAGATGATGCCACAGCAGGAAGGAAAGCTTGGCATTTCTACAGAGGAATCAAACAAAGGCATGGCTAAAGCAAGTGCCATGTACCAAAAAATATTTGAGGCCCACTTTGGAGATACAGTGGACCTGTACATGGATTTACTGAAAGCTGATGTCTACTGCACACAAGACAAGTGGGACTCAATGCCAGTGGAATTGGGACCACTCCTGCATTGTGTAACACCCTGTGCCAGCCAACAGGCACATGATGACTTTGTCAAACAGAAGATTGAGTCAGTGTTTGGCCGCATGAAGGACTTGGATCACCTGGAGGACATAAGTTGGACTGAAATCCTCATGAACACCAAAGTGCACGTTGTGTATGTGCACAATGGTTTGTTTATTCGGCTGGACAACCATTACCTGTTCCTGGAAGTTACAGGCAAACTTTTGTCCTCACCTTCACCTTGGGGAAAATTGGCAATAGAAGGAAATGAGGTCAAGCAAGACTTCCACGACCTTTGCAGAAGAATGTTCTGGCTGGCTTTCTCTTTCAAAACCATTGCAAGTCCGGTCAGAAAAAAACTTTTTGGTGGTAATCATGCAAGATCTGAGTTCCATCAGAAGAGGGTAGAAGCAATGATGAGTAAGTAATGGAAGAGAAAGAACAGTAACATGCAATAACATGCATGTATAATTACATTTGTGTAATTTCAGATTATGTTGAAGCTGTGTGGGAATTTGCAAGGAGGACACTCATCAATGAGAAGTTGGCATCATCAACAAGTTCCAAGAAACAACCAGAAAGATTTGAAGATCTACGAGGAATAATGCGTGGTTACTTCAAAGATCGTCTGAGCCACCTTCACAATAGTGAAAATAATACTATTGTATCTAAAATTGGTGGCACTATTAAGTGGTACAAAAATGTTTGGGCTAAGGATAGCAGTAGTAAAAAGGTTTTTTAAAGTATTAAGAGCATAGGAAATTTGCAAAAGAGAGCAAGGAAGAATTTGTTAGAAGTGGGAAATGATGATGTTGATGAAGATGATTCTGATGATTACATTTTTATGATGAATTTTTTGTTTACACTTTGTTTACACAGTCAACCCCCCATTAACGTTTTTAGTTGGTTCCTAGCAAAAAAACGTTAACTGGAAAAAATGTTAACCGGGGGTGTATTGTCCTTAAGAAATAAGGGAAAAACGTTTATTTGGTTCCACAAAAAATTTTCTTAAGGTAAAAATCAGAAAAAAATTAATCAAAGAGTGTATTTCAACAACTGAGCTTTATGCACTGCCATTACATTCTTAAAGTAACCACAGTTATTCACTTGATTGTTTGGACTTCATTCCATTTGGTGAGAGTATCCTTGATCACAGTTGACTTGAGGGCCAAGTGTTCATCATCACCAGCAGAAGGCAATCTGAAAAATGCAGAAATAATGAAAGAGTGTAAAAAATTCATTGCATGAAGAACAATTTAAAAACCCTGAAAAGGCCTCCTTACTTTTTTTGTGGTGCCATCAATTCATTGATATTTTTTTGAACCTCATTTTTTTCAGCTGCTATTTCCCTTAGCTCTTCTACTCCCAAGTCTTGAGTGTCTTCCATGACAAGTTCATTGAGATCTTCTGCAACAACAGTCATTTGTAAGCTGTTGGCAGTGGCAATTATTTCCTCCATGATTTCCTTGTCCTCTTCTTCATCAGGAGGTGCTTTTTGACATTCTCTTGGTATCAGGTCCTTCCAGGCAGAGTTGAGTGTTCTCTGTGTAACCCACTTCCAGGCTCTTGCAACCAGGAGAATCCTCTCCACAATGGTGAACTTGTCATTCCAAAATTGCTTTACAGACATCACCTGGCATTAAAAAAATTGAATTTCAGTGATATTCTGTCATGTAAGAAAAATTTTTGTCATGTAAGAAAACCTACTTGGTTTTTATCTAGGTGACATTCATCAAAAAGCATGTTGAAGAGAAACTTTGTGTACAGCTTCTTGAAGTTTGCAATCACCATCTGATCCATGGGTTGCAGGATACTGGTGGTGTTTGGAGGCAGGAACTGAATCTGAGGGAGTAATGAATTGAAAATTAAAGACTTTGTAATTTAAGAAGGAATGAGAAGGCAAACTCACTCTTATCCACTTATTCTCAGGCTTCTGGGCATCATCTGTAGGATGGCCTGGGGCATTATCCAAGAGCAGAAGTGCCTTCACTGAACACTCTCTCTTGAAGGAATGATTTGACTTGAGGAGCAAAGAGATCATTCAGTCAAATTTTGAACACTTCATGAGTAACCCAAGCTCTTGAGTTGGACTTCCAGAACACTGAGAGATTGTTTTTTTCAATCTTCTTTGCCTTGAAAGCCCTGGGGTTCTCATACTTGTGCAAAACCATGGGCTTGACCTTACACAGCCCAGTGGCATTTGAGCACAGGAGAACTGTTATCCTTTCTTTTGCAAATTTCTTCCCTTGAATCTTCTTTTGTTCCTGTGTGATGTAGCTCCTTTCAGGCATTTTCTTCCAGAAGAGGCCAGTCTCATCTGCATTTAATACTTCATGGGAATTGTACCCTCCTTCATCTATAACATCTTGGAATGTTTGACAGAACTTTCTGGCCTTCTCATGATCAGCACTTCCTCCTTCTCCTGCCAGCTTTACATTCTTCAGTCCAGTTCTTTTCTGAAACCTGTGGAACCAGCCATTGCTAGCTGTAAGAAACCCAAAGAAATTATTTTTACTTCCTGAAACACTTCATAACTTTGGGTATTCTAACCTTTGAATCCTTTGTTGTCTTCTTTGTGGTCATCTTCTTCCTCTTCATCATCAACAGACTCCCCTTCAGGGTACTCTTGCACAAGGTCTTCAAAGATCTTCTTGGCCTTTCTGCAGATGTGCTCACCAGGCATGGGTTCCCCTTTCATCTGCATGTCCTCAATCCAAATGAGGAGCAGCTTCTCAAGTTCATCCATAACTTGGTGCCTTTGTTTCTTGCTGCTGATCCTTCTTGAACCCTTTGCAGAAGTCTCACATGCTGCTAGCAGCTTGTCCCTGGTTTGCCACATTGTGCCTATGGTGCTCTTGGCTATGCCAAATTCACTGGCCAAGTCAATCTGCCTTTCACCATTCTGCAGTCTCTCAATAATGCTCTTCTTATCTTCAAGAGTGAATACTTTCCTCTTTTTGGCAGCACTTGATTTTGGCATATTCACTTTTTTGAAAACCTTTTTTGAAAAACTGAAACCTAGAAGACAAAAAAACAAGGAAAGGTCTTAGTGCTACCCAAAATTCAGTGTCTGACACTGCAATTGTTCATAAAATAATTTTAACACCACACCACCACACAGTAAACACACTTAAAGCTGTGGAGAAAGTCACATCAAAGAAAATTAACAGGAGGGAGTGAGGGAGGTGATACCCAAAGTTATACCCAAAATTCAGTGTCTGACACTGCAATTGTTCATAAAGTAATAGTAACAACACACCACCACACAGTAAACACACTTAAAGCTGTTGAAAAAGCTAAATTAAAGAAAATTAACAGGAGGGAGGGAGGGAGGCATTAACATTCATCACCCAGTGCCGCACAACTGCGGAACATTAACCAAATTTGGGAACGTTAACAGGGGGGATTTTCCTTTCCAAGATCCAGAACGTTAACCAAAAAAACGTTAACCGGATGGGATGTTAACCGGGGGTTGACTGAATATGTTACTTGAAGTGATAGTTTGCTGCGGGTGACTATTGCTGTGTTTTTTTGTGCTGGTTTGTACTGATTTGTACTTTTTTGAATGAAGTCAAATATTTTCCCATTATCATTATATGTGTATATTTCAATACATCATAAAAATTGCAATTTAAGTAAGTTTCTGTTATTTATAATTTCCTCTTGTTTTCATTTTTAAGATGGAAGGCCAAAGCAATGATCTCATTCTAAGTGAAAAAGAAGTTAGTGCAATAGTTTTTACTATAAATTCCCAAAGAAGATTCACAGTGACTTTGCAAATAACGCACAGGAAGTGCAAGGCACTGGCATGTGAACAAGTTAGGAAGTGGAAAGAGGAAGTGGATTCTTTCACTGCTGATGTTTGTGCAAAGTTGAAAGATAATCTACTCCTCAGTGGCATTTGGGATCTTAGTGCTTTTTTTCAACAAGTTGGGCTTAATGATAAAACAAGTGGTGTATGTCCTGCAAGTGGACTGGAAGAACAATGTAACACTGGATTTTCAGAAAGCAGGGAAATTCCAACAACCAAATTCAATGACATGTGCGGAACTCCTTTTGAAAGACAAGGTAATAATTCACTTGGTGTATTTTACAGAGGAATGTAAAATCTGTGAAGAAATTGTACATGCACATGCACATATTTACATATAAATTGTTATTACCCAAAAACTCTGCATTTCAAGGCTATAATTAGACCTGAATCAGTTTGAAATTATGTTCCAAGAATGTATTCAAACCCGACCCAAGAATTCTGCTTGGTGAGTGAGAATTCTTGCTCACCAAGATGAGCAAGAATTCTTGCTCCCTGTAGCAAAAGCGCTACAGCAACAATGAGCAAGAATTCTAGCTCATTCCAATGAGCAAGAATTCTTGCTCACTGTCCCAAAAGCGCTACAGCAACAATGAGCAAGAATTCTTGCTCATCCGGGTGAGCGAGAATTCTTGCTCACTGGGATGAGTACCAAAAGCGCTACAGCAACAATGAGTGAGAATTCTTGCTCATTGGGAATTTTTGGGTTGAGAACAATGAGCAAGAATTCTTGCTAATGATGCTGTAGCACTTTTGCTACAGTGAGCAAGAATTCTTGCTCATTGTTGCAAGGTTCAATTTTCATACCTTTCAAAAATCTACTCACATATTAAAATATGTATCCTTACTCAATAGGCTCTGACTCTAACTTGCTGTTGGTACTAAAGAACACCCATGTACTGCATGGGGCAGCAAAGCAACGGTCTTTTCTT